TCTCTGCCCATTAATAATAAATAGTAATAATAATAAAATAAATTTTTTAAAAATAATTTAACCAATATAATGTTATCAAATTTATAAGAAGAAATTTTTATCATTTATATTTCAATATAATACTGATTTTAGTAATAATATAAGTTGGAGTATAATCATGAAAATTATGCTTAAGCTAGACTCTAACTAAGAGAAAAATGATAATAAATAAACTTAAGTTTATCAAGGAAAAAAAGGGATAATTAAATTATAAAGTATGCATAATTTTTAATGAGCTTAAGAATTGCTCTCTTATCAATCATAAATCCAAAAATGAAATAGCCACAAAAAAAAAAAACTTCTGAGGCATGGTACAAAAACTTTTTTTGAAAAACACTGTTTAAAAAAAATGCAGCGTATTAATTTTGCATTTAATGAAAGCATGTGGCTGCTGTTTTTTGCTTAAGGTGTCTTGGGCTTTTAAAAGATTTTGTTTATTATTACTTTAAAAATCTTTTCTCATGCTCTCTTCTATCGATAAAAAGCAAGTTTTTTCAGTACTCTTCTTCTCCGAGCGACCTAACATTCGAAATGCAATCATGTTTCAACTTCTCCGGCCACTGTAACTCCGACGATGACAGGGGGTCCAACTTCTCGAGCAAGGCAACATGAGCCCGCTACACTCTCCTTCTCCCTAAGCACGATGAGGAATATTTTGGCAAAATATATTTTTTTATAGGGGACAAAAGTCCAAATTTATTCTCATATAAACCTTTTTTTTAATACCCACCCTGAGCTATACTAGGATCCGCCCATAACTTCTAAAGATTTTCAATTTTAGCAGTACTTTTTCCCTAGTTAGCAAGCATCAAGGCACTTAACCAAGTTTTTTCATTGCGCAAATTTTAGATTAGTTAAAAAAACATAGAAAAGGTACCATCTAATATTATAAAAAGTTTATCTTATAGAGAAATTATGCCACTAGTGTTTAAGGTTTCGTTTGGAATGACTTTCTTATTATTTTTTAAAACAATTTTTAAATGCAAAAAATTTAATATATATATATATTGAAATGGCTTTCTTGCTGCTTCTTAAGAAAATTTTTTATTAAAAAATTTTTAGTTTATGTATATGTTCATTCCTCCAATGCACAAAACGAAAGAAACATGCAGTCCTATAATATGAATAGTGGGCGTCTTATCACTGGCATGCATGCATGTGATGTTATGAATGCATGTGATGTCATTTTGATCATGTATAGTCTCTTTATGATCTCTCAAATTGGGGAAAATATTGGGTTCGGACACCGAACTCAACCAAAACCCAATAAAAATGTGTCACATCATCCTCTACTCGGTACTGAGTAGTACCAAGCAGTACCGGGCTCGGTACTACTCAATGCCAAGCTTTGTATGATCGGTACTGTGAAGTACCGAACTCGGTACTTCACAGTACCGAGATCAGTACCGTTCGGTATTGTGAAGTACCGAACGGTAAGCTGTGTCCGAACCCAATAATCTCTCGTGAACGAGAGGCTCATGTCAGTCGAACCGGATGACATAATAAATAATAATATTATTAAAAATTAATAAAATTAATATAATAATATAACAATCTAATCATAAACCTTATCATTCTAAAAATGACTCATAATAATCTTACAATCTAACAAAACAATTTTGAGAAAAACTAAGGGGTCATTTGCCCAAGCGCCTTGGGTGCATTGTCAAAACATAATCCACAGAATTGAAAACAAAATCCACTTAGAAATTTAAAACAAAACAGTAATCTCAAATAAAGATGTTAAAAATTATTGTCAAAACATAATCCAACTTGCCTAGGTTGGCTCATAAAATTGAATCCACGAAGCACCAACGGTCTTCAATTCGATCATTGATCTTAAGAAACGTGCCAAGCTTCTTAGAACAATAATGCCGGATAAAGTATTATAAGACACGCGAGTAAAAAAGCTCTGAACTTCATAGAACAGTAATGTCGGACAAATTCCTCTCAGATTTACAAGAATCGAAGTATGTGTGTAAGAATCGAAGCATAAGATCTATAGGTTCTATAGAATGGGTGTAAGGAGATCAAAACTCTTCAAGGCTTCAAGCATGATTCACATTTTTAAAATTTTAACAAAACAAAAAAAAAAAAATCTACGGCTATAAACTCTAACGAAGAGCAGAAGAGTCGAACAAACCTAGCAGGAGTTCTATGGCCATGGGAGGAAACGACGGGATGAATTGTTTGGGATTGCTTTTTTACTGCTTCTTGAAGCAGCTTTCTAATATAAAAATTGTAATTTTTATACTAAAAAACTGCTTCAAGAAGCAGTAAAAAAACCGTCCCAAACGAAGCCTTAATATGGGCGAAGAAGCCCGGAGAGGAAGCTTCACAATTGCGTGTCATTTGAGTTAATAGAATTCCCTACCTAATTTACATTGTTCGATCCTACACGGGCAACTGAGATTTGAGATCATAAGAACCGATTGATTCGGAGGTTCTCCACTTCAACCGGGTTATTAAGCGATTTTTCCCTGATTCAATCTCTAAAAGGTTGCTTCAAGAAACCAAACCAATTCATGGTGGAACCGGTTGAACCTGCCAGTCCGATTTGATTTTTAAAACCTTGCCATTTATATTTTGCTAAAGTGGACATTTATACCTCTTCCCTCCGGTATTTAGCTAGCTATATTATTTACAACTTAATTCATTCACTTTCTTTGAACTTTCTCTAAGACAATTTTATTGATGTAACTAATGCCACCTCATTAGTTTGGTTCAACCGTAAAGTTATAATTGACTCACCTAACAACCCATGCTGGAAGATTGAAAACATAATCTCCTTCTGAGTTCAACTAACTTATCCAGCAATAACTATTTCTTTTGATTATTTTTCTTTGCATCCATAATCAAATTTCTATATACTGTAATACAAACTTTCTCCAGAAATTGGTTAACAATCCTTGCAAAAAAAGAGCATCAATTCTTTATAATAAGCTCAATGCAAGTAAGAAGAAGAAGAGAAGGTTGTGTCAACTATTCTTGCAAAGAAACATCACTAACAAATGCTAGTTTGCGAGTTACTCAGTAAGATAAGCAGATATCACGGTGTATTGGAAGGAGATGTGAAAAAGATGCAACTGACCAGGCTCCAAACAGCATAGACAAACCATAACCAACAACTATGTTGAACTTTGGCTCTACAAGGGGTGCAAACGAGTCAAGTCGAGCTTGAGCCAGAGGTTATTCGAGTCGAGCTTGGCTGCCAAATACCGAACTCGAGCTCAAGCTTGACTCGTCTCACGAAACAAGTCGAGTCGAGCGGCTCGTCGAGCTCCTGCTCCCGCAGCGAAGCTCGCTCCCGCTGGAGCTTCGCTGCGAAGCTCGCTCCCGCTCCGACTCCCACTGCAAAGCTCGCTCCCGCTCTCGCGGAGAAGTTCGCTTCTGCGACCCGCTCTTGCGGCGAAGCCCACTGTCGCGACCCGCTCTAGCGGCGAAGCCCGCTCTCATGGTGAATCCCGCACCTCTTACGCAAGCTACTCGACGAGCTATCGAGTCGAGCAGCCAAGTGTTCAAGCTCGAGCTCAATTAGCCGTCGACCTCGAACTCTTGTTTGAGCTTGATAAGCTTGACTCGTCGAGCCCAAGCCGGCTCGCAAGCCGGCTTGACTCGGTTGCACCCCCTACACAACAAGCGGATATTGCGATCAGCAACTGTCACCAAAACACCAAGATGAAGCAATATTTGGCATCATGTAAACAAGTATAAAAGGAATTGATGTCCAATAACTCACTGATTAAAGGGAAGAAACCAGCTCATTGGCCACCATACACAAATCAAACAAGTATCACAAGTCCTGTGGCAATGAGAAAACCCCAGGAATAAGAAGCTTTACAGAGGGCAACCGTAGCTATTGAACAAAAAAACGTAAAAGCTCCAAAGACTTAAGCATGCAACACCCTCCCACCACTGAGCAACTAATGTCCTCAATTTCTCCAGAACTCCACAGAAATGCCAAAAGCAAAGGAGGCAAAGCTTCACTGGCAAAAGCATACCCTTTCAATCACCTCTCCAACTCAACAGAAGTCTCTTGCAGCAATTGAAGCTACTGTTTCTCTATCTATTTATTTATCTCCACTATCTCTCTATCATCTCACTCAGAAACAGAGATACATATAAATCCATACATGCATGCATGCAAGCATGCATGCATGCAAGCATGCATGCATGCGTGCATGGCAGCTTAGATTTAATACTCATATAGCATAAATATGTGGCATAGCTAAAATAGTTCAATTTTTTGCAGCAATAAACACTAAAGATTGGTCATTTATTGATTGATTCAGTGAACTGAGAGAAATGTTCATTAAACTTGTCTCCCTTGATCAAACAAACCTGCAAATTTCTCAAATAAAATATATTCAGTATGGGAAAAGAAAAGAACCATTCAGCACAATCAACGAAAATGTTAAGAAGCAGTATGAAGCACTAGCATTCATATCCTAGTTTCAATGAAGGAGATAGAATATTAACTATAAAGTTCATTAGCATAGCTAATGAAAGACCTCAAGAAAACTGACAATCAAAAGAGCAACTTCAGAGGAAGAACATTTAAATAGACAAAAAAAAAAACTGAATTGGTTATTTATGAAAACATGCCCCAATCCTAACGCTTCGTTTGGGACAGCTTTTTTACTGCTTCTTAAAGCAACTTTTTAGTACAAAATTTTTAATTTTTATACTAAAAAACTACTTTAAAAAGTAGCAAGAAAGTCATCCCAAATGAAGCCTAAGTTACGCCAAGCAAAACTTCAATGTAAAAGTTAACTAAATCAAGGAAATGGAAAGCCAAATCTTTTTTTTTTTATTGAAACATCTAGTTTGACAGTAAATCCAGAAAAAAAGAATCAAATATTTACAAGTTTTTCAAGAAAAGTATGGCCTTTTTATACAAGACATAAAGCTCACTTCAAACTGGAAAATGATAGAACACCAGTAGCACCACTGACTCTTACAGAAAGGAATATAGCATAAATAGTTACCAGGCCAACCCCTAACAACTTGCTAGGTTGCATGTCATTTCTTGGTAAGATAAGCAGAGCCCAGGCAAGCGCAGCAATGAGGAAACTCATTGTATAGATCAAGGAGCTGTCGACCGGAAGGAGATATGAAGAAGGAGCAACTGAACAGGCTCCAACCAACATAGATATACCAAGACCAGCAAGGATATTGAACATGGGACCTGCAAAACAACCAGAGATGGCGATTTGCACGCCATCGCCACCTCTCAAAGCTAAAGCAATATTCGACATCAAGTCACCCATGGAATTACCCCATGCCATAACTGTCAATCCAAGAATGGAAGGGTTGATACCCAATATCACACCCAAATCGAGGAAAAGAGAAACCAACTCATTGGCAACTATATAAAACCAGACAATGCTCATCACAAAGCCTCCAAAAACCCAGGGAAACAAGAACCGCTGTGGTGGGCAGTCATGATTAGTTAAGAAGAAAGCAGAAGTCCCTAGTGAAATGCTTACAACGCCAGCCAACACATAAGCAGCTAAAGTAACATTGGAACCCACAGGTTCTCCAGAACTCCATAAAAATGCAAGAAGAAAAGGTGCCAATGCTGCACTAGCAACTGCATACTTTTTAGACCATCTTTCCTCCTCAACGACTGGAATTGTCAGCCTCCTTGGAAGCGAAAGTGGAACCTCAAAAATTAAGAAAAGCTTACTAAAGGAAAACACAATATCTCGTTCCTTTTCATCTTCATTCCATCCCCATAAAGGATTTGAATTTTTAGCTGGACCACCCTTGTGCCTACAGTTTGAGTATATTGCCACATTAGAAGCCCACATCCACTGAGGCAAGCTACTATGCAGTTGAGGCACATCATCATTGAATTCATAATCAACCAGAGGTCTAGACATAGATTCATCCTCCTCATTTGCAACAGAAAAGAAGGTCCCTGCAACAGGAAGCAAGGGAGTCACAAGATTCAACTTCAAGCTCTTTGCATGCTTCCTCAGAATCTCATTTGCTGTAACCACAAAGGCATAAATCACGTAGATCAAAACAAACATGATTGCTCCCCAAAAACTAATCTTCCCAACAATCAAGATCAACGACAAGGCCGCCAAAGTTGATAAGAAGAATCCAATATCCCTTATAAAACATTTTCGATCGATTTGAACATTTTTCCCAGCAATGATTAAGGAAATAACACCCACAACTATGCAAGTAACAAAGAGTGCACCACCAAGCACGCTGTTAATACCAACCTCCCCAGCTCCAGTTCCCACAAAGGCCGCAATGCTGGCAAAAACATCGGGAGCCCCATTTCCAAGCGGAAGTAAGGTTACACCAGCAACAGTAGGTGGAAGCTTCAATAAAGCGGAGAGCTTCGCAAGACTGCAGCAGAAGTAATCGGCAGCTGTATTGCCCAATAGATAAAACAGAGCGAGAAGCCACAAGGTAAGAACAGCATAACCCAAGATTTGAAATTCCTCACAGTCGCAGTAAAAGAAGGTGATGTAATCGATAAACCCACCAGAACCACACTGGGGGTGCGACTTAAGGAAATCGCACCGAGTGCCCTCGTGCCGGGCTATCCCGGAGCAAGCCTCCGTTGGATTCTCCAGATCATTCGATTGGATTATACGCGACGAATTACTCAAAGAAAGCTCGAAGAGATGCCGGTGGAAATTGGGGGAGGATTTCGGAAGCCCCCAAGGAGAGCCAAAACTGGAGCTTTTGCGTAGGCGGGGGGTTCGGAGAACGTCCTCTCGGTTGTAGAAGAATAAAAGAAGAATCAGAGTGCAGAGACCATTGAAAACGGAGCGAAATTTAGGGGCATGCATCCTCTCCTCCGTGCCCAATAACTGCGGCACTTCCTCTATTCAATTAACTGGGAGGTTTTCTAGCGTATCGGAAGCCGATCATCCAGGACACAATTGAGGCCGAGGGAGATGAATCGGCGAAAAATACACGAAGGATAATGAGATTTGTAGGCTTCGGACCAGATTGTTGGGAGAAATTTTGAACTTTTGAGATTGGTACATAGGCTAAGGGCCTCACCTGGGCGATGTCGACGGCCGCGGCGAGAGGATTCGAAAACTATAAGTCAGGGAAATTAACACCTGACATGCCGCTTTACTGACCGTTAGATTACTAAATCTGACGGCAATAAAAGATACGTCGTGTATTCCTGTATTCAATTCGTAGTTAGCTTACAGAAGTGCCGAAACTAATTTCAGACCGTCAGATTTATTGATCGAACGGTCAGCATAAGGAAGGAGGAGTGTAGATTCATCACATAGATTTGTAGCATTTTGGCGTTTATTTGTTACGTGCGTGGCCTTCTATCTGATTTTCCGCACGCAAGACCGGAGTTAATTAAAATACATGCAACATAAAACATGTGCTGCAATAATAACTAAAGTCTCCACCAATACTTAATTTGATTGATGGGCTAGTGCGGTTGAGAGCCCCCAATCCCATGCTAGATTTTCTCAGGCGACATCACCCCTCTAGGGGGGACTCAATAAGTGTAGGCAACGAGTAGTAATAGTTGTGGGTTGCTCGTCTAGGTTAGCAGATGAGACTAGTAAATATCGTCAAGGGCGTCACAAGCTGACGTGGCAGCGGGCCGATACTCCCGATTCCCAAAAAAAAAAATTAAAAGGGGATGTATATGCATTATACATACCACTTTATTTCATCCTATTTACATATTTAACATTCAAAATTTTATACAATGTTACATTTCTACTATTCATATAAAATTTTAATATCAAATATATCATTCATATATTTCATTCTTACAACTCATACAATCCTATAAACTTTAATATTTCATTCCATAAAACTTATATTTGTTTTATAGGTGGTAGGTATGTAATATTAATTTTAGGTATTAGATATGTAAATAATATAAAATAAAGTGGTGTGTATGTAAATCTCCCTAATATCTAATATTTATCAGATCGGGTTGCAGCTTATGCTTAAATCTCCTAATATGTTAAAAATAAATCTAATATTTATCCTAGTGTAATGATTAGGGTGTCAATTTGGGTCAACGAGTCAGGTTCGAGTTGAATCCAACTTGACCCAGTCTTAAACGAGTTGATACTAACCCAACACAGTTTTGCAAACTGCTTAGAATTTTAACCCGACCCGGCCCATGCGGGTTACCAAGTTGAACCAAGCCGACACAATCTACGAGTGACAATAGCATCTGCGATTATGCGGACTCTCGACCACTTTACAGGAGCCATTTGCGGCTCTGCAGACACCATCGTTGGTGGCATCACGAAGCCTTGAACTTGACCAGATATCGTCGCCGTGCAACAACAAGAAGCCTCAAACTCAACTAGATGGTAGCTTGAAGGCAATGGCAGCTCGAAGCCTCGAACTCAACTAGTCTCGATTGCCAGCAGCAGCATGGACATGACGTGATGCGAGTCACGCAATTGGAGACAAGACGCGGTCACCGAGTCACGTGCTGACGTCTGACGCAATTGAAGTGACGACATAACAAACGGGTCAATGCAGGTTGGTTTCAAGTTTCCATGTCAACCCAACCCAATTTTACAAACGGATTGGAATTACAAACTCGAACTCGGCTTGTATGACAAATGGATTGATCCAAATCTAAAATTTTTTTGGTTGAGTTTCGAATGGTGTTAGATTTTGACACCCCTAATAAATATAATCTTTCACTGAAATCATTTTTATTCATTGCATTTTATTAAGTGTTAAATTTTTAATTAAATTTAATAAAAAAATCATTTCTAATTCTTTCTAACCTTTTTTTAAAATCTCTATCTTATGCTTCATTTATGACATCTTTTTACTACTTTCTAAAGCAGCTTTTTAATTAAAAATTTTCAAATTAAAAAAAAAATTATGTTATAAAGCCTCTTTTGAAAATCAATAATAAAGATGTCCCAAATAAAATCTTATGCATGTACTCTCCCAACGGGCTCATGTGAAGGATGATTTTTTGTGTGATCAAATCATCTAAAATATCTCTCTCTAATGCTAATATGTCCCTGGAGCTCAAAATTTTCATTTAAAAATAATGATATATTATATTTATCACATAGGATTTAAATCCTATAGTCATGGTGGAAATAATGTAAGATCCATAATTGTACGTTAACATAAATTCAGAAAGCATATGAAGGTGGAATTCTTGCCATTCAATTATGAGCGTGAGAACTATCAGCATTTTCAAGATTTGTATCAGTGTGGCTGCTGGATTGATGAGTACACAACAGATTTTTACACCTTCCTTGCTCTTCTTGATCTGCTTGAACCTCCAATACAGTTGATTTCTCAGTATATTGGTGTCCTTAGCTTCGCCTCCAAGTCTGAGATATTCTAAACCCATCAGTGTCTGGAATGAAAGCTTAAGCGTCGCTCAGATTCTGATTCCAAAGGTTCTGCTGCAACATATTCAGTCTGTCTCAATCGGGATGCGCTCCAATAAATTTAGTTTGGGATTATTTTTTTAATGTTTCTTAAAATAACTTGCTAGTAAAAATAAATAAATTTATTGTACTAAAAAGTTGCTTTAAGAAGCAGTAAGCAAGCCATCAGAAATGAAACCTTAATGATTGCCCAAAGCAAAACTCGTAGAACTCGTAAGTGATTGGTGAAGATTTGAAAGCTGAGAGCTTTGCTGAATAACCCAATGATGTTTTAGTTGAAGAATATGTGGAAGGGGATGTCTGCCCATTGCTCATGCTTCATTAGACTTTTCTTAGTCCTTTTTCTCCCACCTTTAAAAGTTATTTTAGGCTTTATTTGGGGTAACTTTCTCACTCCTTTGTAATCACAATTTTCATTCGGTCACTGCAGCTCACAAAAAAATTTGTACTAAAAATTTGCTTTATATAACAACTTTACAAAATCATTTTTTCTATAATAGTTTTACAAAATAGTAAGAAGAGCATCCCCAAGAAAGCCTTAATTCCAAACCATAAACGTGTTATCAGACATCCCACCGAACCTGTTTCAACTTTGGATTCCTTTGAGACAAGGCTTTTTTGTTGCTTCTTAAAGTTGTTTTAAGTATAAAAATTAATTTTTTTGCACTAAAAAATTGCTTTAAGAAGCAATAAAAAGCCATCCCAAACAAAACCTTTATCCTCCTGAAAATTTTTTTAGCAAGAGACGTTGGAATCAAATACAATATATTTGATTATTGGCAAAGTCAGAGCCTCTCTTGACAATTTCAGGTATTCTGCTTCCGATTTTATCAGAATTTAAGATATTTTTTTCTGATGAATAACCTGCTACTTTTCCTCCTATGTGATATATTCAACATCAGATCTATTTCTTCCAGCTATCGTGCTACCGAACCATACTCAAAGTCGAAAGAAGCATTGTGAATCGTGGTGACAAGTTGAAGAGATTGCTGGTCAAAGGCCATATTGGGGAGTAAGTCCATGAGCAGTTCTGCTTTGCTCACACCATTTTATTAGAGACAATGGTGACATGATCTTGAGGCTATGTGAGAAGATCACGAAGGCTTTTAGATGGAGTAGTATTGAAGTTAATTGTTGCGGGGTGATAGATTCGCGGTAGTAGAGTGAGAGAATTTTTTTGTATTGGCACGATAGTCCAACACACAAATAAATAAGTGAAAGAGATTTGAAATATCATAAATTTTTTACATGGAGAACCCATAAAAGGGAAAGATAAGAGGGCTTTGCCTAGATTAAGAGATTCCATTATATATAAATAAGTTACAAAGGTTGATCCATCCTTTAACGTGTAGATGGTGAAATTACAATAATTGAGAATTCTTCGAAGTTTGTATGTATGCTTAGGCATTGGAATGATTGTGGTCAAGCGGGGGTTGAAATTCCATATAAAGCTGGCGGTAAAGCCGCCCTGCGTCGTACATATGAAACTCCGGTGGCATTGCTGGCGGCCAAATGACTGTCGGAAATTCCGACTGTAAAACTACCGGTATAACCGCCACTTATTACCTGCGGTCACTTGGCCGGTAATTGATGAATTTTCGGTAGTTAAAGGATTATAATCGTGTGGTCTGAGGAGTGAGTCCAACAGGAGACGAAGGTCAGAAGTCTGGTCACAACGGCCGGGTAAAGGTCTGGGGGAAGATTCAAAGATGATCAGCAATCGGGAACAGGTCTAGAGGTTTTTTATGGCTAGAAGGCGGTCTGATGGCGATCGACCACTAGGCGGACATCTAATTGCAATTAGTGGCCAGACATAGGTATGGCATCAACGACCGAGTATAGATCTAGCGCTAGCTGGTTGATGAAGGTATGCGATGATTACCAAGCGGAGGTACATTGATCAATAGTTAGGCAGAAGCTCGACGGCTGTTTGTCCAACGACAATGATCTGTCGACAAATATTTATTGGCAACGGAGCACAGATGTGAGCTCTGGAATACTTGAAACTTCATGACACTTTATATAAAGAGTGAGGTTTATTTATAGATTTTTGGGAGTGACATGCTCTATAAATATGAGAAAAATCTAGAGCAAATCCAGAGCATTCAATTAGACATCCCATATTGATTCTCTGACTATTGATCATTATTTTTTAACATTTAGGTGCCTAAATGTTATTGGAATTAAGTGATATTGGGCTCGTTGGATTCATCTTATCAAGACGCTTGATTCAAATATAAACATTTCATATTTAGAGATCATTAGGCCACCTAATTTATACTTTGAATTTTCCCAGATAATATTTGCTAACATATCATTAATATAGGCTATCAAAATGACTAAATCGATCTCACGTAAAGTGGAATAAAATGGAACTCGGCAACGTTGAAGTTTATAGTGTTTTGCATCGATTGAAACAACTGTTCTGCTAAAAAAAATGCTGAAGTGACAGAGGATGATTGAGAGAAAAGATGAGGCCCACTTTGCACTAATCCTCTTTGATTAACTCGTTTGAATTTAAATTCAAATATTCTTAGCTTAGTTGAAAACAATGCAACGTGACAGTTATTTTTACTATAATTTATAAAAATTAGAGTTCATTTGATCATTCAAATGATTTTTTAAAATTTTTTCTTCAATTTTTTGGATTTTCAG